ATGAGCTGCTGCATGTGAAAATGGTTTCTCTTAAGGAAAAAAAAAGACAGAAAAGCAGAGATGTTCCTAGAGATGAACTGGTAAAATAAGTAAGTACACACATACATAAATACTTAAAGCTTTGTAAGAATCATTTTCCTTCGTTCTTCACAGACTAACTTCACTTTCATTTGGAAAATATTTAACAAAAGATTCAACAATTTAGTATTTCGATGTGCATGATAATTTTTAATCTTCAAGTTAGGTGGAATTATTAGAAACACTGCCAAAAGGTCACACTACAAAGAAAGCAAATCATACAAATGAACAAGGAAATGGAGTAAAAACAAATTGTTGGTCATTATTATGAAAACCTAGTCACCTGCTATGTTGTCTAATACAGTAGCCAATAGCCACATGTAACAATTTAAATTTAATTAATTAAAAATAAAGCTGAAAATTCAGTTCCTTAGACACACAACCTACATTTCAAGTGCTCAATGGCCCATGTTGGACAGCAGAAATTCAGAACATTACCACCGTCATTTCTATCAAACCATGACAAAGACTGTGCATCCAATCAGTGGTATATACACCAAATAAGAATACTTAATATTTATTGATCTACTGGCTTAAAGACCCTATCCCTTCCTCACACCTTCCTTGATTACATTTAAAAAAGTTTGTGTTTTTTTATTGTTGTTGAAGGTATATTGTTTCATTTCACCTATAAAGATCCATGCATCTATTTCATTTTATCAATAAAATGAAATAACTATGCACATTTCCTTCTTTGCTATGGCTAGAAGAAATCTCAGAAGTAAGTTAATGCTTAATTGCCATAACTATTAATCCAGGTTTTGGATAAATGTATTTTCACACTGCTCTATGCAATTTTTGACATTACTCTATTTTAATGTATTTTAGAAATTTTATTGTAAAGAGGCTTAAATTCCTTTTGGAAATGGGTGGAACATAATTAATTGATAAATTCTACATAATGACACTCTACTGCCCTCTTTCTTTCGAGAATAAAAGTTCCAAGCAAGAAATTATTACCAAGTAAATTTTTCCAACAATAACCATAAGAAAAAAACCTGTAATTAATCAACATATTGTACACACCAGTGCTAAAAGCCATTATAAAATTAAGTAGTGATTCTTAATAAAATTCTGAGATTAAAAAAAACTACTTAAATATGAAAATTACCAAAACTCAATAGCAAATATCATATTAATTGGCAAAGTACCAATTATATCCATTAAAATCAGAAATAGGATAAAGATACTTGATATCACTACAATCATTTAACATTGTTTTGAACAATGTAGCTAATGCATTAAAATTTTAAAAATCAAACGAGCAATAGATAATTGGAAGATGTACAGTTACCTTTATTTTCAGAGTGGTATACCTAGAAAATCTGAATATCTATAATAGATAATTAAAATTAGTAAGAGTTTATTAAGGTGAATAGAAATCACATACATAAAAAGAACTGATCCCTTTTCTCTATGCCACCAAAAAGTAATTTGAAATGGGGGAAAAAGGGGCACCTGGGTGGCTCAGTCGGTTAAGCATCTGACTCTTGATTTCGGCTCAGGCCATGATTCCAGGATCATGAGATTGAGCACCAAGTTAGGCTCTGCGCTGAATGCAGAGCGTCTCTCCCTCTTCCTACCCACCCCCTACCCTCTTCCGTGCTCTCTCTCAAAAAGGGGGCAGGGGAATCCTACCCTAATAGCTACAATTAATAAATGCAAAGGATAAATTTGACACAGGAACCTAAACGTGGCTCAAAAGACATGCACAGAATCTAAATTGAAAAAAAAAAACAATAAAATTTTATCAAAGGACATAAAATAAGACATAAAAGCAGAGTAACTTATTTTCCTGGACATAGACTCTTAAAATTATAAAAAATATCCATCCCAAACTAATGCAGATTAATTTAATATTGAATTTGTTAGGAATGTTTATCTGTAAGAAGACGCCCAACAAAAACAGTGGCTTAAGTAACTAAAACATTCAACTATCTCGCATAAAATATCTGGAGAAAGGGATTACCAGGTCAGTAGAGTGGTTCCCCAATCATAAAAACCCAGCCTCCTTCTATCTTTCGGCCTTCTTTAAGAACGTTGGGTTTGTTGCTTTATAGTACCATGATGACTGCTGCAACTCCCGGCATCACACTCAAGTTCAAGTCTGGCAAGAAGGGAGAAGGCAGTGGTGCTAAGTATGCCTACCTTTTTTTTTTTTTTTTAATAAAAAAAAGCAAATGATTCTCCAGAAATCTCCCAGTAGACTTCCGTTTACGTTGCATTGGCCAGAATCACATCATGTGACTACCCCTAGATGCTAGTTAAGCTGAGAAAGCAAGCACCTCATTCTTCCAGTCTTCGAGGTGGTATATAAGATAAGGAAAAAAGTTGAATGGGTGTTTATTTAGCCAACCAGGTGTTAAATTTACCACAAATTCTAGTCAGAATCTCACTTTTTTCATTCAAACTGTTCTGTTTTCTGAAGTAGAATGTATATTCCAGAAAAGGAGTCTTTACCTTGCTCACCACCATATTCCTGGTATCTAACATGTAGTCATCTGTTGGATGACTAAATAGCTTTAGTGCGAACTGAAAATATCTCTGCTTTTTAAAAGTGGCCATTTCTAAATGATAGATGACTTAGTGTATGACAACTATACCTTTAGTTCTCAATAGTGGGACTAAACTGAATCATACAACGGGGAAGGTCATCTGGTCTCACCATCTTCCCAGAGTAAGAATTTCAGCCCCAAGGTGGCACGGCTGCCCATCTCTGGCTTACATACCACAAAAAAGGCGTGGTGAGTGCTTACTGTGTGTCAGGGCCTAGGTGTAATGTTCTACATGCACGATTTCATTTCTATTCACAATGATCCCATGAGGAAAATACTATCATTTCCATTTCACAAAAGAGAAAAATGAGGCAGTCTCAAAACAACACGCAAGTAAGCGGCAGGGCCTGGATCAGAACCTCAGTCAACCTAACTCTAGATTTCAAGTTCTGACTCACTGAACCTTACCACTTTGAATATGAACACAGTATGTTCCACTGCTACACAGCTCTTTGCTAGAATGTTCTTTCATTAAGCTGGACAAACTGGCCACACTGTTATTTCTACTCATTATCTTCATTCTGGAGGAAAGCTCAATAAGTCTGTTCATGCTACTATATGATCACCCTTTGAAGGTCTCAGAATTATGTCCAAACACCATGTTATTTGGTCATTTGTTCTTGGATTAGAGTCTATTTGTAGGATTCTCTCTTAAAGGTAGCATCCAAAAAGAAATTACACCACAAATCTGTTTACCAGGGTCATAGACTATTGTAGGGGTTAAAAACAGGCTGCCCCAAGATGGGCCACTTTGGCATAAATTACATACAAGCAGAATTAAATCATAACAATATCCTTCCATTGTTTACAATGGAAGAAACTAAAGTTTCAAAAGTGCTATTTTTCATTACTCAAATTCCACTCAGTTCTTACATACAAAGGTACTATCTACATGTCATTAAATGTCTAAAGGATTAACTTACCCTATAGACTCATGGATTCTATGGCTAAGTGTCTGATGGAAAAATTACTTGGCCTCTCCATAAATAATCAATTTTTTTATTTATAAGAGAGTCAGCAACCACAAGGCAAAATTGTTTAAAACAAACAAAAAAAATCTAGTAAGGAAAAAAGGAATAATTCTCTGTTAATATGAACGCATTTTCTATTGTACTAAACTCATATTCAAGTTATAGTTTAAAACGAATTATTCACTTCCGGCTGTTAGTTTGGCTTTTATTGAAAAGTTGTTTTTTTTAAACATGGAAATGTCCAATTAAACAGTAAAAATTTCCAATAACCCTTGGAAAATATGTCACCTATAAGCTAATTTCCTCAAGATATGTAAGCTAAAGAAAAAGAAGAAAAATTAAAAGTACGGTTAACTTCAATTTTTTAAAAAAATCAAAGTATAAAGAAGGCCCACAGCTGGGTTCAAGAAATGCTCATAAGCAAGACTCTACTGCCCTCTTTTGTATCAAGAATGTAACGCAACGCAAGTGCCAAATAGGGCAACGCCCCCAGGATGAAGTGAAAGGAAATGGGTTTTCTGGGCTTCTTTTCCCAGATGGATGGGCAGCTACCAAGGCAGAGGACACTTGCCTAAGTGCCTTCACACGTTTGTTGTTTCATTTTTGTTGAATAAATGAATCTTACTCTGACTTTTCTAAAAAGTTTTTTTATTTGATTATTGCTGAAATTTTAGAGTCAAGAGTAAAATAAAGTCATACATTCAAGTTTGTTTTTTGTTGTTTTTTTTTAATGATTCTAATGGATTTGGTGAGTCAAAGGAGCAAAAATCTGACAGTTTCCAGTTGTCCCGTGGGCTCTCCAATCTATCCTGCTTTCAAATCCAGTGTTTAAAACCAACAAAGGCGAACAAAAGTTGGGACTTGAGTGCCTTTATTTAGCCTGACAGCCACATCACTTGAAGCAGTCTTTTAATCTGTTAAGTGATCTAAGCACAAATTATATGGGTCTTCTTAGTTTACCATCAGAATGCACACAGGTTTTCTCTGAGGACACAAACATTCCACTGCAGAGACCCGATGTCACAGTGGAGGTTAGGGAAGATACCTGCAGCCTTCCTTTGGTTTTCTAATTTAGAAGCCACCCCACCCCCTAACAGATCTAGAAAGTAGGGGCATAAAGAGGTTCCATTTCCAATGCAAAAATATATGGAGTTAGCTAGTATCACTATTATTTGTACCCACCCCCCCCATCTCAGCCAGGCTGTTTTCGTTTGGACTTCTGAGCGACCTCTAACAAAATGCGCTTCAGCTTACACTTCACATGCGAATGAAGGAGGATATTCTCACAGAGCAAACTTGTGATTTCAGGATTGCTGAAATTCTTCAGTGGAGTAAGAAGTTATAAACTGCTTTTGTAACAATAAAATCAAACATTAAAATCGAGAGCCAGATAATATTGTCTTTTCTTTCCAAAAATTTAATTTGTATCTTTTAAATGACAATAAGACATTTTCTCAAATCATTTAATCAATTAATCCAAAGGAAAAAAGTGAAATACTATGATTACAGCGATGCTAATAGACACTTCTAGCAAGACATATGGCAACAAAATTCTCAACAAGTTTTATAAGAATCTGGTATAAAATAAAGTTAAATATAACATTTTTAAAAGAACAAGATCAGTTTACCTAACCTGCATTCCTAAGAGACATTTGCACTTCTTGTCCTGGCTTAAAAACAAAACAAAACAAAACCCTCAAATCACTTTCTTTTTATACAAATAAATTTACTATATTGACTAAGCTGCATAAAGTTCATGAGGATAAGTTCTGAAAAAAGCAATAAACGCAAAATTAAGGCAAACTTGATGGTTGATATCAGGTAAATAGCACATTTAGAAGGATTTTTGTTAAGAATTTCTGCCTTTAAAGTACTCGAAACTATTTATTTCAGAAGGTACATTTGTATCTGTCATACATCTGATCCTTACAGCATTCCTGGAGGAGGAATTTCTACTAAAGAGAAAAAACTAAGAAAAACTCATTTAAGATCATACAGCTTGATCAGTGGCATGAACACACTTATCAAGGGCCTTGGAACACGGAAGTTTCCTGTTGGTCGATTTACCTTCCTAACTGCATCAAGATATGATCCAAGCATCAAAATAGTTTGAATTCCCTGAGGTCTACAAAACAGACTGCAGCCATAATGGGTGATGAGAAGTCAGCTCAGGATTTCTCACATGCTACATGATTTGCAGGGCAAGACTAGAATAAAGAAGGAGATGGATACAAGAAAAGGGGAGGAATGACCTGAAAGATCATCATATGGCCAGGTTCAACCAAAACCCAGAATAAACTAGAACTGAAAAGAAGGGGAAGCAAATATTAAAACCAAAGGGGTAGAGAGGCCTAGAAAGGTAAGAAATTATTCACCTTAATAGTGCAAAGTGTTCAGTACACATCCCCATATAAATAATTCTAAAACTTCTTTGAGGTAGACAGATGTTAGGAACGAACGGAGTACATGTTTAACAAAAAGAAAAAACAAAGAAAAGAAAGGAAAGAGGCCCTGAAGAGAGGCCCCAACTTTTAATGTTACCTTTAATAAAAAAAAAAACATTGCAGTTAGTACTTGTAAAGATCCCTTTCAGTAAAGTGCTTAAATGCCTGTTGTTTTATTCCTACACTGAGAGGTTGAGATTAAGTATTTTACAGCTAAAGGACCCAAACCAAGATGGGCTTTTAAAAGAAAGCCTACCAAAGCTCCCAGCAAGTTTGTAACTTTTTACCACTTGTCCACTTGGACCACCTTGTTTTCCCCTTTCAGTTTCTCAAGTTGGAGCTCAAGTTGACTTTCCTGGCAAAACCTCCCGGATTCCCTCAGTCAGAAGTAATGCTCCGACTTCCAAAAGTCCTGCTACACTTAAGCCTTGCTGTCACTGTGTTGTATCAGTTTGCACACTTGTCTCCCCAGTGGACTACAAGCTCCTGAAAAGGCACACAAAGATAAACCTGCTTCTTCATCTCTGAATCTTTAGGAGCTGGCATCCTATGGGTACTCATTAATCAAGAGCCCATCTGACTTGATCTCTCAAAATGTACATTTTATATAAGGTGAACAAATTAGAGCTTTGTAGTTCTTCTTATAAAATTCAATATATCCTGCAAAACTCATTTTTATTCCTTTCCCTCTTCCTCCCAGGGAAAATTAGTCTACCAGAGCAAATACCCAGGTTACAACCTTAGTCCCTCTTTCCAACCCCATTTTTTAAATATTACATTTCCTTCATTAAAATATTCTAATGCACTTACAAGTAAAACTAAGTCACAAGAAGAGCAACAAAACATATGGTTCTTCATGATATAAAAACAATTTTTTCTCATCACCAGGTCACAGAAAAATAAAGAAACACATTCTTATGCTTGAACATTATTTGTAAGGGCTTAACAATGAATTTTAGAATCTGAACTTCCACTTGAAAGATCTCCACAAAGGAAACATTACGAACCGAATGAAGGAAAATAGCTATTCATAGGGACATATTTTTGTACTTGCTTTGCTCCAATTTCTGCTACATAGATTGCTCCAGTCTTCCCACTGACATCCAAGAGATGAGGTAAAACTTGATCCGCTAGCTGGATCGTGCCGATTACAGAACAGTTACCGATGCTTCCCACTGGGGGCGCTGCCACCAGTAAGAGCCTGCTAAGGTTCAGCTGGGCTACAATCACGTACTTTCCGTCGGGAGTAAATCTAAGGAGAAAGACATTTTACAGAATAAATGTATGCAAAATTAGTATAAATGTTGACTTCCTCAACGTTTTTATCTCCTATGACGCTAAACAACAACAGACACCTCTACTTGCTGAAGGATGCCCTCAAGGAGAATTTAAAATTTGTCTAACTCTGTTGATGAGGGAATAGATTTGCGATGGTAGACAGCTAGCTCTTCAGAGAAACGAACATAAACCAAATAAAACAAGCATTTTTTTTTTCTTTCAAGATTTTATTTAAATTGTATTTAGTTAACACAGAGTGTAGTATTAGTTTCTGGGGGAGAATTCAGTGATCTATCACTTGCATATAACACCCAATGCTCATCACAGCAAGTGCCCTCCTTAATGCCCATCACCCACTTAGCCCATCCCCCACCCACCTAATAAAACGAGTATTTTAAAAGAAAAAGAAAAAAATCACCTGACTGAAGAAGGTCCCTCTTCTGTGAAACAATTATTCCATGCTCCTAACCACTCCCCGGTGTCTTTATCAAATACTTGAATTCTTTTATTTCCTCGGTCAGCAACCCACACCTGAGAAACCAAAAAAATGTTTCTAGGAAAAGATCTACATCATAATGAGAAAGAAAACAGAAGGGGAAGAGGGGAGGTATGAATGTTTATTTCCATTAGTTTCACATGCATCACCTCATTTAGTACTTAGAGGACCCCAAAGAAGAAGTTATTAAAAGCCCTATCTTCAGACACGAAATTAAAGTTCGAAGTGAGCTTACAGTGGGAGAGCCACTTACGGCCATCTGTCTTAACCCAAAGCCCATACATAACACTCTGTTCTATTAAACATTTGAATAACTAAAAAAACTGGAGTCTTCTGTTGTGATGCAAAGGACTAGCACAGTACTGAGAAGCAAGAGAATTCATTCATTCCTCCAACAGGCATTGTCTGTCCTGCTGAGTTCTGCCAACCTGTCAGTCCCTGGGTTAGGTGAGAAGACAAAGACAAAGAAATGCAGCCTAGTTCCTCAGGAGCTCAGGCTAGGGGGTAGCCACGTATTCATTCCTATTGCAGTATCACTAAACATCTACCTGCTAGTTACCAAAGAATGTCCAAAGTGCCAAACCACTGAAAGAGGATGCTTAAAAGATTTTAGTAGCATCTCAAGAATGACAGTAGACTAACAACAGGTTTAATTTAATTTTGCTATAGGCTGGAATGAGTTATTAAGGAAAACTGTTGTTATAAAACAGGGAAATAGATTCACTCCAAATGACATTTCATGTACTATATTTAATATATGCAACCTATGGCATACATACAGTGAAATGATTTTATGACATGAGGCTAGGATTGTAGAGGGGTAAGTAAGAATGGACTGGAAGTGTGGGCCAGCCCTGCTGACCTCTACCTCCTCCTTTCAGGATCATTGGATTTCTTGAGTTTGTGGATTCCGGCACTATTTCTTCAGGGTAACCCTGACAATGTATCCGTCAATGCCTGTGAGTTTTAGTAGCCACTAAATTCATCTATAATAAGAAACAAATACAGACTCACTGTATCATTTTAGAAAGGTTGTTGATCCCTAAGTAAGGTAATTTCTCAAGACCCTTTCCTGATTCATGATTCTTTAGTAAGGATGAAGAATTTGGGACTACTGCCTTAGATGAGTGACCAAGGAAGAAATATAGTTTAGACTCTAGGACTGAATATTTTAGATTGTTAGCATTATCTTCCCTACTGAACAAATCTTGATTATGAGAAACCTTGTTTAAGAAACAATAGCAGGGGCGCCTGGGTGGCCCATTTGGTTAAGCCCCCGACTTGAGATTTCAGCTCAGGTCATGATCCACAGGGTTGTGAGATTGAACCCCGGGTCAGGCTCTGCACTCAGCAGGGAGTCTGCTTGAGATTCTCTCTCTCCCTCTCCCTCTGTCCCTACCCCAACCTGCACATGTGCACGTGCATGCACTTTCTCTCTCAATCCCTCTCTCTCGAATAAATAAATCTTAAAAACGAAAAAACAAAAAAAAAACAGCAGCAAGTTCAGCTCTGGAGCTAATTAACTTTTCCTATAGGGTTGGGGTGATGACTAAATGAGTTAATCATGTAAAATGCTCTGAATGGCATTGACTGTTGTTAAAACACAAGTGTGCGGAAATGAATACCCTCATTTTTCATCATTCTGTAATGCCAGAGTATCCCCATCAAATGTTCTCCAAGCTTTCTCAAAAGGGCACTACAGAGAATTCACCTGGGTTTAGGTCTTGCCTGCTCAGAAACTTGATCTTATTCTTATTCATTGAAGGAAGTAGTTAACCGGGCTCAGAAGGGTAATGTGTTTAAAACCAGAATTCCAACTTTCAAGCTCCCCATTTACAGACAAAACTCACAGGTTCAGTTATCTTCCTACCTACAATGCGAAATACTTGCAGATTTTATGATCAAAACATTCTCACTTTGTCTACATAGGAAGCCAAATCACAATCAAAAGGTTGTCTGCTGAACATAGAATAAGAAGTAGAAATGGATTAAATTTCTAACAGTATGAAGCCAAGATAGTCTGATGCATCCATCCTGCAAGACATTTAGTCATTTAACAGTTACTCATACAATGACTACTACATGCCAGGCACTGAGATACAAAGCCAAAGAGATTCAGTATATGCCCTCATACAGCCTACACTCTGTTAAGGGAAACGACTGATCATATTATAGTGTGATAATTACTATAACGGGAAAGTATAGGCTACTATAGGAAAACAGAAGGGGAAACTAATATAAAACATTTTGGGTGGGGGTTTGGTTATAGGAAAGTAACCCCAAAGAAGTGATATATATGCTTAAAGGTGGATAAAAGCAAAAGAGGTAGCAGTGGATAGGGTGGGGAAAAAGAAATGGGTTGAAAAGCGTCAGTTAAGGGTGCCTGGGTGGCTCAGTTGGTTGGGCAACTGCCTTTGGCTCAGGTCGTGATCCTGGAGTCCCGGAATCAAGCCCCGCATCGGGCTCCCGGCTCAGCAGGGAGCCTGCTTCTCCCTCTGAAACTCTCCCCTCTCATGCTCTCTCTCTCTCAAATAAATAAATAAAATCTTAAAAAAAAAAAAAAAAAAGAAAGAAAGAAATGCTTCAGTTAAAGTCTTCCGTTCCCCAGAGTGGAGCTAGTGAGAACAAAGTTGCCTGAGTGGCTCTTATTTTCAAGCCTCCAAGATTAATCTCTCCCATCTCCCTTTTGATCAACATATTCTAGAATTAATTTAATTCTAAAATTAAAAATATATTCAAACACTCTTAGTAGTTTTCTTAGTAGGAGGGCAACTCTTTCCTTTTTCTGGTAACTTAAGTTCTATTCCATTATTTGTTCCTTCTACCTTTAAATAACACAGGAAATCTATTTTGTTCATTTCTAAATATTTGGGGAACTCTCCTCATTATAGGACCTGAACATTTATAAGAATATGTGGGTATACCCAGCCCCAGAGGAATTGCCCAGACACACCCAGATACACATAACCACAAACATTCATACATATTCAGATATCCAGACACACATGTGCACCAAGATCCATATACATAGAGGTCCATACGCCTACACACACACACACACACACACACACACACACACACACACACACACACACACTCAGACACACAGTTCCATACACAATGACAGTGTATTTTTACCCGACCAGATGAATCAACGGTAACACTGTGAGGTATGTTGAACTTAGCAGGCCCCGTTCCACGTTCTCCATGCAGCCAAAGCATCATGAAATCTGACAACGGCAAACATAGTTGGCTTCAAAATTCTTAGATAAGCCTTCAAGAACATCTCAAATCTTATTTTTTAACTCTTCCAAAATTACATCCTAAGCTCCCTTCCTAGAAGACTTGCTAATTACCTGCAGACCTTGTGTGATAGAGTCTTGTGAATGTTCCTCCCATCCATCTTCTCCTCCCACCAAAACCAGTTTAGTTCAAGAACCACTTGCTTTATGAATGCTTGCCCTACTTACCCAGTCAACAGTAATTTCTCCTTCTCCAAATCTTATTTTACTTTAACAATCAATACCATAGAGTAGCATTTAGCAGTTTCATCTGAAATAGACCTGCACCTAGAATACTACTGAGGACATACAGCAATAAATACAATGAAACTTTAGCTATCAATCAAACTGAAGGGTATCTCATCTCTGGAATGCCAGGTTCCTAACCTTCTTTCTTAATTGGATAGGATAAACACTTATTTCTTCAGCCCACTATAAATTCCCAAACTGCCTCCAATTTAATTCAAAGGAATAAGCAAGCATATTATCAGAATCATTTATTACTGACCATCCCACACATCTCACTCGAGCCCTTTACACACAGCTTCATATATAATACAATATACAATAGTTGTAGGGGCACCTGGGTGGCTCAGTCAAGTCAGTTAAGCGTCCAACTACATTTCAGCTCAGGTCATGATCTCAAGGGTCGTGAGATGGAGCCCTATGTCAGGCTTCTTGCTGGGTGTGGAGTCTGCTGAAGATTGTCTCTCTCCCTCTCCCCCTGGCCCCCACCCCCGGAACGTATTCTCTCTCTCTTAAAAAAAATACACACACGCACACTAGTTATAATATTACACCAAGTATTGAACAAATTAAACACATCCAACTTATTTATTTTTTTTAAGATTTTATTTATTTGACAGAGAGAGACAGCGAGAGCAGGAACACAAGCAGGGGGAGTGGGAAAGGGAGAAGCAGGCCTCCCACCGAGCAGGGAGCCCGATGTGGGACTCTATCCCGGGACCCCAGGATCATGACCTGAGCCGAAGGCAGACGCTTAACGACTGAGCCACCCAGGCGCCCCTAAACACATCCAACTTATTAAAAAGCATTCTTATGATACCATGCAAGCCATGTACCTTGGGACAATTTGATCAATCTGTTATTCAATCCTCCATCTCCATCCACAATGTAAATATCTCCTGTGTCATCTACATATAATTCTGCGGGATTATCAAATTGCAGGGGATTCAAACCAGTGCCTTTTTTGCCTGGGGTACCCAAGACTTGAACAAGATCACCAAAGGAATTGTATTTTTTAATAGTATGACCATAGGATCCTATAAAGAAAAACATGCACATGTCACAAATATAACCACTGTCCAAACATTCACGTTTTTCAAGTAAGCAGAGAGCAAGAATTTAATAGAATTTGACTGTAATAAAAAGTTAACAGGCTCAGATAATTAAATGCTGTATTTCACAAGCAATAGAGCTTCTTCATTAGTTACAACCAAATCTGTCACATGAATTAAAGCTCAGGTACTCCAAAATAAGTAGATTCTAAATTCAAATAAGTAAAACCAACAAAACTGGCTCCTTATACAGAAGGCTCATGATGTTAAATTATAGGTACATCATTTTCTTTTGTAATCATAAGCATGACAGTACAACCTTGAATAAACATTCCTTGCAAAAAGAAATCCAGAAGTAACTGGAAAAGGAACTTATGTTTGAAAATCATTATTTCAGTCAATCATGTGCAGATCTCAAATTTTAGTAGGTCAACAAAAAAGTTCACTATAATACATATTTTTTTATTTTTTATTTTTTTAAAGATTTTATTTATTTGACAGAGCGAGAGAGCACAAGCAGGGGGAACAGCAGAGGGAGAGGGAGAAGCAGGTTCCCTGCCGAGCAAGGAGCCCGATGCGGGGCTCGATCCCAGGACCCTGGAATCATGACCTGAGCCGAAGGCAGACGCTCAACCATCTGAGCCACCCAGGCGCCCCTAATACATATTTTTTTTAAACTACACTTTCTCATAGTAGAAACAAGTGCAAAACTCAACTCATTAACTTTTTTTCCTAAGAGAATAAATCTTTCCAAATCACTAGTATATTTTCTCACTTATATCAAGACTTCTTTGAATTAAAATTATCTTACAAGCAAAAATATAAAGTACGGTACTAATAATTAGGAAAAAAACATAATGCGGTTAACAGAAATCAACTTGAAGGCATACCAAGACCAAACTAACTGGTAGGCATGCCAAAGATAAATTGGATACACTGAACTCACTGGAAATAAAGTGAATCAGCTTGCATTACAATTCTACCTTAAAAAACGTATTTATTGTTATACCTGATTTGAATGCTTGAGGTAATTTGTAGCAACAAGAGAACAAAATATTATTAAAGAAAGCAACCTTCAAAGTTTCTAAAGAGTTGGCAAAAGACATAGAACACCAGTATATAACATCGTTTTGTTTTGTTTTTAAGGCTCATTTACAGCCACATTTTTATTAAAGGGAATGTATTTCTTCAAAAAATGGGAAGGAATATAAAAAGTGTCTTCAGATCTGTGCATGAAAAAAACCCTTTAATGGAAAGAAGAAGTCATGTGTGTTTTGTTTTATTTGTGGGAATCCACGAAGTATTTTATAAAAAACGATCACATGAATGGAATAAATTAAAAAGTAAAGGCCTTTAACAGTGAGTCCTGGGGGAAAAAAAAGAAGTCAAAATAGTCATATTTCATTATAGCATTACAAGGAACTCAGAGGTATTCTTGATTTTTTGTTTAACCAAAATTTTATCATCCAAAATACATCCTGAAAGAAATGAAATCAGCTGTGGCTCAGAAATCTTTTGGGTTCTGAGAACAAACAGTAATGGCACTTCTAACAAAAACTGAGAGTTCATTAATTCCAAAATGGTATCTGAATTTGCCAGAAATGAAGAAACAGGATGTCCTTCAAGCCATGAATGTAACTGGGCCAAAGACTGTCTTTATGATCCCATTCATTCTTGAGATCCTGCGATAATAATGCCAGGTTATCTCTGGTACTGTCTTAAGCCACAAGAACATGCAAACAGCTATCTCTGAAAACATCCAGAGCTATAAATCCAACTGTGCCTACTTTGATTTGCAACACATTCTACTAAAAGTATTTGGTGGAAAGAAGATTTCAGACATGTTGCAGTAGGCAGGACTTCAGAAACATTAACACCAGGCGTCTCTGCAAATCTTGCGTTTTGGGCAACAAAGCAGTTCTAGGTTCTTAGCACAATTTCTTTTGAAAGTGAGCTGGTAAAGGAAAATAAGACAAGGACTCCGTTCATTAACTTACAGAGATTGCTATTTTTGGGGCCATTAACTTACAGAGATTGCTATTTTGGGGGCTTCACAGAAGAGGTTTAAAATTTTAGCCTGGGAAGAGCAACTGATGCGTTAACAAACCATAGAAATGATCCCTGAAAGTATGGTCTCACAACCGATGCTTTAAAGAGGAAAAGTCCCTTGACAAGTTAAAGGAAAAACCATAATAATTATAGCCTCCTTGCTAAATATCTTGACTCTACAGAAGTACAGTATAGAGGTTTTTAGAAACAAGTGATTTCAAAAATAATTAAAGAAATTACAACTAGATTTAGCAACTCTTGATTTTAAAGCGTACAAGCAAGAACATGGGCAACGATATGATTTCTAGCAAGATAAGTGAATAGATATTACTACACATACCACTTCCTACATCCGTGATCCAGACAGACTGTTCATGTAGTGTACTGGCTGCAAATATACCATGAGGTGTGTCAACAGTGTAATTCCAGGATCGTAGGAAATATCCATCCTCTGTGAACACTAATACCTTTGGGATGTTATCCCCTCTCTGAAGGTATATAAAAATAACTGCTTAGATAGGATCAGTTTTTAGAAAGTAATCTTTATTTTGGTAGAGAGAAACAAAAATTAAAGGTTAATCGAGAAATTTAATGTTTAAAAAACGAGCTTCAAAACCTAACAATATTAATATCTACTACGTTCAAAACCGAAGTATTTACTTAAAACCAACTCAAAAAAAACTTCACAAATAGCATAACATAAACATACATGGTTACCTAGTACAGCAAAACAAGAAGAAATTGTTTCCTTTGTGTTCATAATTTTTTTTTTTAATCCTAATTTTACTAACCTGGGCTATGTAAACCAATCCGCTGAGGGAGTCAACTGCAACACAAAATGTTGCTCCAGTAAAGTATTCTGAGTGCTTAGGCCAACCCACATCCAGCCGGTAAGGAATTTCCTTGGTTCTCCAGGAAATTTGAAAAGCAAATTCCCTTAAAACCTTTAAAAAAATAATCAGAAGATTAAGAATCCGTTTACCCTCTACGTTAAGAAAAAAAAAAAAAGGCTTATTTTTTAAGCATGCCCTGACAGCTGACACAGAGGTGTTGAGACTGCTGGACAGAAATGATTCGGAAGAAATGGGTTTATAAGTCTAGAGACCAAAGTGATCACAACACAAATCTGCAAATTATTTTAAGATGTAGTGGGATCTGGGGAAAGAAAGAAAACGGGAAAATGGCGATGTACCATATACAAACTTTTTAACACCAAGAGACAAAACAAGACGTCAGCAGTTCCGCTCCCGGTGCAGCTTTTGAAAAGACAAGCTAAGTGCGGGCGCCAGGGCCCGCTACCTCCATCCCACGACAGCGGGTCGCCTCTCAACAGTGCTATCCACACACCCAACAGACATTTCTTCCCTGCTCAACTCACCGGGGAGCCACAAAAACGCGAATGCAAAACCAGTAATGCAAGAAAGAAGCCAGCGCCGACCAGGCAGACCCAGAATCTTGCCATGACGAAACGGTAGAGTCCGCAGGCGGCTGGGGGCCACCAGACAGCCTCAGCTCCACGCGGTTCGTCGCTGTACACGGCGTCGGCCCCTCCTCGGAGCCGAAGTTCCTATCTCCAGTTCCGTCTCCCTGGACGTGCGGGGTTTGAGAACCGGACTCGGGGGATAGAAAATCAGAATTCGGGTAGCGGTTTCCTGGATCATTCCCGGGTCCACGCCCCCAGGTCACGTGGCTCGGGCTGACCGACTGACCACCCCTTTTCGCCCCTTGGGGCGGTCCACGCGGCGGACTTCTTCCGTCCGCCAAAAATAAGGGCATCCATAGATATGCCTTAACCACTTGACGTTCATTTTTTTAAAAATTCAGATTGAAAAATCAGAGTCAAGCACACTTAAACCCAAAACATAGAGATGTGATCCTTAAAAGATGACTTTCAAGCTCTGAGAAAGATTTCAGCTGCATCCGATTCCGAGGCATCCAGGCATTCGCTATGAACACCTACGTTCCCACACCAGGACCCCTCCATTGGCTTTCGGGAAAGAGGGGCCTAAGCTTTTGGCGCAGAGTTGAGTTTACTGGGGCGCGACGGGTTTCGTTAAAGGGCCCCAGGAGCCGGTGGGAGCTGTAGGGGTAACCAGGAAGGGCTCTAGACGCTGTGGGCGCCGCGGTGTTCGGGAGTCCCCCTACCAGGGAGCGTGCCCCCCTTTGCCGGGCTCCTGGTGCTCTCCGGCCGCCGGCCCGCTCCCGGAAGCCGTGGCAGCTGATAACAAAGAGCCTGCCAGGCCGCCGCTGCCCGGGCTGCGGAACCCAGGAGCCAGCGCAACTGCTGGGGTTGAGCGCAAGTCGGGCCATGAGTCCAGGTTCGCGGCGGTGAGGGGCGGCAGCCGGCGGCTGAGGCTCTGGTGTGGGCCGAGAGGCTAGTGCCTCCTTCCTCGCCGCCCGCGGGAGCCGGGGTGCAGGTGCCTCTCCTCTCCCACACGGGAGAGCGGCTTCACGACCTTTCCCCGGCGGCGCCTGGCCTTCAGCTGCAGGAGATCGAAGCTCAGCCCCGGCTGCCAAACCCTGGATTTCTCTGCAGGACTCAGAGAGCACCGGGCTCTTCCCCCTAGGTGTCCTGAAGCTTTGTGTGAAGAAGCTGAGGAAACCCGACGGTTTTTGCTTTTAACAAAAAGTTTTTATAAGTGTGCATTTTTTGAAGTTTTTGCAGATTTTGAAGTACTCTCTACCTCTTTGCGTCCTTTTTCTTGCCCCTGGAGTCTTTCCTTCTCAGCTATAAACATTTCTACTATTGAAGCAGACCAGGGATGAACGTTTTGTAACTGAAAGTGTAACTGTTAAAACCACGTTGAGACAGTAGTCAAGATGGACAAAAAGTCCTTTGAAACGGTGTTGGATGAAATTAGAAAGGTAATTGCACTTAATTTCTTAAACCAATCTATGAGCTACGAATTCTCGTAGTTAATTCTCTTTGAGGGACTGCGTGCAGACTGCAAAATGCGGGTTTTAGGATTGCGAAATTGATTGGAATTTTAACGTACACAGTATGGGAGCTTGTAGTTTGATACGCTTCACTATACAGATAGAGATTAAGTTATGTTAATGCTAAACTTGACTATCAATGCAGTATTGTGGAAATTATATTCAAAGAGTTCTCATTCCCAAGCCGGCTGTACAAATCTTTAAAAGTTCTGTACTAGTGGAGAAGTGATTTGATATTTCTGAACTGATCACCTCATCTTTCAGTAACCTAAAGACTGAAAACTGGAGGTAATACGTATAAAATTTCTTTAATGGTAGTTATTATGGCAAGTTTTTCAAATCTGAAGATAGGCACACTGTGTGTTGCCTGGACGGACAAAATTAATGTCCAAAAGGCCTCATGTTTTTAGGAGTGGGCTTCAATAACTTGAATTTCAAAACTTTTTCTTCCTGCTGTCCAAATTTTTGCTTCGTTTCGAGGCCATTGTATGTAACCTACCTTCCAGAATGAACCAGACAGCAAAAAAATTTGGGATGTAGCCTTGAGCCTAATAAATACCTAAAGCACAAAAGTAAGAAGTTTACCGAATTAGAACTGGAAGGACTTTCTGTACCATTCTTATGCTAATACAGGGTGCTTTGCTTAGAATTTCAGGGTGATTATCTTGCCATTTCCAAACCTTTAAGACCCTTGACTGACGGAAGGATTTGTTACTTTAGGCTTCAGCTTATGAAATTATTAATAAAATTGCCTGTGGGGGCCCCTAGGTGGCTCAGTTGGTTAAGCATCTGTCTTCAGCTCAGGTCGTGATCCCGGGGTCCTGAGATTGGGTCCTGCATCTGGCTCCCTGCTCAGCGGGGAGTCTGCTTCTCCCTCTATGCTTCCCCCCTGCTTGTGATCTCTCTCTCTCACTCACTTTCTCTCAAATAAATAAAATCTTAAAAAAAAAAAGAACTTCAAAAAAATTGCCTGTGTACATGCCGTTTTTCTGCATTGTCTATAAAGCAAAATGTTTTTCTTCATCCTTCATAAGACTTTTTTTTCAAATTCATATGTTAGTTATATTTAGATATTTGATGATATTGGATGTTCTTTTTGAACAAAACTTCTGCTTTTGCAAATCCAATTTGTGCAATTAAGATTTGCAATAAAATGTCAGCTTGCCAACTATATGTTTAAAATTTGTAACAATTTGTTCATGAGCTGATATTTAACTACTGTTTATAAGGAAATAATTTGTGTGTCCAAATAGACCAGTAGATTTCTACTTTTGGAAGCTATAGGATGCAATTTGTATATGCTCTCCCTTCTTGTTATGAAAAGATCACATAGTAAATACTAGTGAGGGATGTAGGATATTTTCCAGAGATGAAAATCATACATGAGATAGCAACTTACGTTCTTATTTAAGTCCTTATTTCTGGTCTGCAGGCAAAATACGTCTTTTGCTGTCTGTGCCAAATAATTAGATACATCAGCATTGTCTTAGTCTACTAAAATGGGATTAAAATGTAGGCATATCTAAGTGAGAATTATTGTTTTTTTTAAAAAATTGCTCTCAGACTTTGTAAATGTAAGTTGGTTTAAACCAGGTAATCACCCCCTGAGGTTACATCTCAACAGTACATTCTCTAAAGTACATTATGCAAAATGCCATTCTCTCCCCCTCACCTCCCTTTTCAGTGAAAATTAAACTATTAAAATAACGGGCAACTTGGATGTTTCTTTCAGTTAACTGGTCATACTTTCTCCTAGCAAAGTGATGTATATGCCAAGTACAAATAATTGTTTTGTAGTAAAAGCAGAGGGATTAGTTGATTTTTAATGATTAGTAGTTACCAAATTATGATTGTTTCCATCTCTGAGCTCTGCAAACAGTTGTAAGGAGAGCATACGTGATTTCGTCTGGCTCCAGATAGTGCTGGGTCAAGGCCGCCGCCGTACTTCTCTCTGAACTTCCCATTGATAGGGGCCATGTAAGGAAAGAAACCGTAATTTACTGAGTAGTACTATTGTTATGTCTACTATTGACTATTTTAATCTTAAGGTGGGTAGTGAATGGTGTTCACCTTTTGTAGGGTAAAAAGCTTCTCAGGGTAGTTAAAATGCCTTTCAAAGACCACACTGCAGGCACACATATTGAATCGAGGGCCCTCTTTGGCTCCTTGGGTTCTTCTATCCCAGTGGAAATACTTACCATTCACGTTTCTCTATTAGCACATAACAGCTGCTCAGTAATTGATGGATGAGTCATGCCTGATATAATTAGTCTTCTTAAAAATGACAATTTGGTTGAAATTGGGATGTTCTGAAACTAATTACATTTACAGGAATTCTATTTGTGACTTCTAGTAACATCAAATCTTGTCTATTACAGTTCTGTTCCTTTTCTTGTAGGAGTGAGTAGGGAGGCCCGGAGGTTTTCCTGCTGTCTCAGTGTATCCCTTACAGCATGGAACCTGGAAAGGTAGAATGTCATGTCACCATAGTGACTTTAGCTGCCTCTGTGTGCTGCGGCTGAGGAAGGTCTGCCATGTTTGAGTTGCTTAGGTAGTTTTGATAATATGCATATTACTGTTGCTTACATATATTAATGCTCTTTTTCTGTGTTTTTTTAGGCTGTTCTGACAGAGTACAAATTAAAAGCAATTGAGTATGTGCATGGATATTTCTCTAGTGAACAGGTATTTGTTCTATTTAAGCAAAACCTTTTTTTTACTCTGATGTTCTAGTTAAAGTCTATTTACCTGCTGGTCAGGTTCAGAATTGCTTTTACTTTGTTGCTATATTTATTCAGAAACGTTAGGAGCTTTTGATATTGATAGAAAACTTTGCAGAATTTATAGTTCGAGTATTTTATAAACATAGCTACTTTCACTGCAATATCATATGTTAATATGATTTTAAAATGCAGTGTCCAAGAAAAGCATATTTATCATTCTGGGCACAATATCATAAATTTATAAACTTCTAATGGTAAACATACCTAAATTTGTACAGAATTTATAAATCAGTAATAACAAAATTCACTACACGTTAAAAAGAAAACTTGAACAAATGGTGCATTATGGTTCTTATATGAAGCCGCTATGTAAAAATTTTAGCCATAAGAAAAGAAAATATAGTGTCTAATAAGTAGTTTCTGTCACTGCCAGAAGAGTAATGTTTTAAAGCTTAGTGAAAACTCACCCAGCTTCAGGGGGAGTTTGCTAATTAAAAACAATATGTATGCATACTAGATCAGATTTCTGAGGAATGCTTAGAAAATACTCGATAGAGAAATAGGGCGGAAAGAGAAATGTATATCTGGAGCAGAGTTCTGGGAAAGGGTAGGAATGTGGAGAGGGTAGACAGTGGATGAATCTGTAGGTAGAGTTAGTAAATGCTCCAACTTTTTCTCAAGACTTTTCAAACTTGAACTTTGAATAACTTTAAGCCTGTAGAAAGTTCTGACTGCTAAATCCTTAAAAGCTACTTCATGATTTGCATGTCTTGCTGCCTATTTAATCAGTGTTTTTCAGTTGTCCCATTATTTTTCAAAATCACCTTATACTTAATTTAAATGTTTTGAAAAGATTTATAATGTCTCATAGATAACAACTTCCCTTTCCTTCTTTTGTGTGTGTGTGTGTGTGTGTGTGAAATTTCGTAGAAAACTTCCCTTAGTGGTTATTCCACTTGCTAAACTCAAAGCTTCTTTCTAAGTATGACCTACTAAGCCTACTTACTGTATTGAAGGTTTTTCTTCCTGTATCAGACATATAGTTGGTAACTTTTTTTGGTTGGTAAAGTGGCAGGTAGCATTTACTATAAAGAAAACCATTATTCCCATGAAAATGAGGAAAGTACACATAATACCCATTTGTAATTTATGCATCACTTTATAAGGAGTAAAAAGTATTTTTACTCTTCTTCATATACTATTCCAGTCTCTAGCATTAATTTTGCTTTGTAGAATAATTGAAACCTTAACACATTTTCAGGAAGTTACAGTAAAAGAATTCATTAACCCAGATTTCATTACCCTCTCTTCTTTGAGTCATTCTTTTTTTTCCTTTTGGAGTTCCTTTGGACGCAGTGAACAGGGTGGTGACTACGCAGGGACTTCACTGCTATGACCTTGATGCGCTCCTCACCTCTCACTAGCGATTTCACAGGATCTCCCTCATTCATTTGAAGTTCGCTGGTGGTGGTGGGAGAGCCTGGCTAACTGTGCTCTCAAAATGACCTACTTACTGTTTAGAAGCTGCTGGAGTAAGTCATGGTGATTCTTACATTTTTAGGGAGGAGATCTGTAGTGTAAATACGAGTACTGTGCCCTTCAGACCCAAGGAAAAGAGTAGGAGATAGTGGACCTACACTAAACCACACCACTGAACACCCTTTTGTGATTGATTACAAATGTCACTCTCTGCTAAATTTTTAAAGTTTTCCATTTGTAATATAGCTTTATATTTCTAAACTGACATTTTATCTCCATCTAATACTTTTTCGATCTTCCTTTTCTTTAGGTACTTTGTTTTTCCTGTACTTTATACCTTCCGTTTATTTCTATACCAGCGCTGCCCCAGACTCTGTGATGATGGAAATGTTCTCTTTCTGCACTATCCATTGTGGTAGCTACCTACATCTTATAGCTATTGAGCATTTAAACTGTGGTTTGTGCCAATAAGGAGCTGAGTAGTATTTCAAAGTCCTGAAACAAATCTTGTGGAAATGTTTGCAAACACATTGCATTAGAGCTAAAGTAATTCTTTGCTTTCAGGTGGTTGATTTACTGAGATACTTCTCCTGGGCTGAGCCTCAGTTAAAGGCAATGAAAGCATTACAGCATGTAAGTAACTTACTTTTCTTTGTAGTGTAGAATTTAAGTATTTTGAATTCTTCCCTTGTTTTCTATAATTGATCTCAAGTTGTAATTTGTTTGCATTAGAAAAACTGATCCTAAATTTTATTATACTTTGATTAATCAAATAATTACTAAAAAATTAGGAGTTCCCAAACTGATTTAAATTGTATGTACTGTACTACTAAATTGTACACCATAGGATCCTAATTGGCAAATTGGAAGAGAAAATATTTATAGGCAGCAAAGCATAAAATTTGAATTCTTAAGTGTTTTTATGTACTTTTTTTTTTATATCTTTATCCTCATGTGTTTAGTCTTAGAACAATAGTCAAATGAGTTTATATTTACATTTTTTAGACCAGCACTGTCCAAATGAACTTTTAGCAATGATAGGAATGTTTTATATCTCTGCTATCCAATATGGTAACCACTAGCTACACATAGCTTTTGAGCATTTAAATGTGTCTAGTCTGCCTGTGGAACTGTATTTTTAATTTTATTTAATTTTAATTTAAGCAGGCACATGTGCCTAGTGGCTACTATTAGCACAGCCTAAATTAACAGAGGCATTTAAGTCAAACAGTATCTGTTTACGTAGGAAGATTTTCCTTGGATTATCAGGGATGGATAGCCTTAAGGGAATCTACAGATCCTTAGCTTCCTAAACTAATTTGCCGAAGAAAGTGGCTGGATCTGTTAGTGCTTTGCCTCTTTAGCAATTCGTTTTTTTCAACTCTACAAAAAAAAAGGTTATCTTACCCATCCACCCATCACTCTTTTCCCAAGGACCAAAGAGACCATGTAATCTCCTGAGAGGGAGGGCAAAGCAGAGAACTTCTGTAAGAAATACTGATGGGGACCTCTCTTTATTTTATCAAGACAACAAACTCATGACAAAGCTCTGAGGCTTCTGCTTGCTTATTCACCTACTTTAGAATTAAAATTCAGAGATGAAAAAGTTAGCATGAGCACAACTTATAAGTCAACCTTTGCTGACAAACTAAGTCTGATTTGGTTGTTTTCACACTGAAGACTAACCTCGACAATTAGGTTATGCAGTAGACATTTTCATAAATGAGATAAATGAGTAGTTCCAAAGTTTTTACAAATATGTAATAAACTGAATATAAATCAATTTTTTGTAAGTATTTAAACTTGTGGTATAGTTTTTAGATGTCAATTTAAAAACTTGCAAAGGGGTATGTGTTTTACCAATTCTTTTGGTGCTACCTGAATAAAATTGTCTGAACAGCATTGCTCTAAGTTTTAGGAGTCTATTGGGTATTGATTCTAAATGATCTTCTTGCACTGACTTTGCTTTTGAATTTCCTCCACTATTAACATAAATCTGTAAATTGGTGGAACCTTATCTTCAAAACCAAAAGTACCCTAGTCAAATTATAGAACATTGCACACAATCTTCCAGTGTCACAGTTCATGTTAATGTAAGACTTTTAAGAAAGTTCTACAGTAAAGAATGCTGTTTAACCCATCTTTTCCCTACCTGAGGTGACTCTAGTACCCTTTTTTAGTAACAGTATTCAGCACCACAGACCTCACTTTAGGAAGCCCTGACTACAGAACGCTTAGCACTCTAAGGAATGTAATTTTTTCTAACTTCTTGAGCAGTGTATCTCCCATATTTATAAATATCCCCTTTTTTAGAACCTTTCTGAGGAAAGGAGTACATGTAAATACTTTTCTTCTATAAATAAATACATTGAGAGACATTGATAAAAAAAGCACATAGGGGGAACTTAGATCTTCAACTGAAATAGTTACATTGAAAAAGTCTAAGGTTAATTCACATGGTTGTTAGGCCTTGTTTTTGAATAAGCAGTTTCACTTCAAATACTTAAATATTAAGAACATTTAACTATGTTTCCCCCAAAATAGCAATCTCTGGCATGAAAATTTCTCATGTTGAAAATAAAATTATTTTTCATATTAATAGAAAATGGTGGCTGTTCACCCAGCAGAAGTGGTCAATATACTCAATTGTTTCACCTTCAGTAAAGACAAGCTAGTTGCTCTTGAACTGTTAGCTTCGTGAGTATTTCTTTTTACTTTATTGGAGAAAATTTGGAAGACTTTTTAAATGTTTTTTAACTCATTAGTGTGTATTAATGTCTCAAAATTATATTAGTAAATGGAACTCTAATAAAATCTGTGAAAGGGTAGACTGAATTTTTATATCTAAATATCTAGGGGCACCTGGTCGGCTTAGTTGGTTGGGCATCCAGCTCTTGATTTCGGCTCAGGTCATGATCTCAGGGTCATGAGATCGAGCCCTGCCTGGGGCTCCACTCTGGGTGTAGAGCCTGCTTAAAGATTTTCTCTCTCCCTCTCCCCCTCCCTACACCCCCCCCCCACTTGCACATGCTCTCTCTAAGGGAAAAATAAATAAATAGATATCTAGTGTACTTATTACAAATAGTTACAACTTAAAAATAACCAGGCATAATGAGATTATTTATTTGATTTGTCTTCATTTCAGTGACTTCCATTGCTTTCCGACTCTGAGTAGTTTGAAAGGCTCATTGAGAAAGCCATAGGTTTTATAGTTAGGTTCTGATACATGTGCTTACTCTTTCTGGACCTTATTTTCCTCGGTTATAAAGTTAAGGATCTCACCTACTTAATGGCATATGTGAGCTTTATTTATTTATTTATTTTTTTAAGATTTTATTTGTTTGACAGAGAGAGACACAGCGAGAAAGGGAACACAAGCAGGGGGAATGGGAGAGGGAGAAGCAGGCTTCCCGCGGAGCAGGGAGCCCGATGCGGGGCTC